TTTTCTTTTTTTTTTTTTTAGCCTCGTGGCTGGCCTCGAGAGCTGGCGTCTAACGGCGGATGGTAGTTAAAGGTTAAAGAAGAAGAAACGAACGATCGGCCAGATTATTAGAAACGTTCGCGACTCGTTAAAAGTTTCCGAGCCCGAGTCATCGTCGTCCACGAGAGGGGAGGGGGAGGGGGAGGGGGAGAGGAGGGGGGGAGGGGGTAGAGGCCGTCGAGAGGAATTTTCCCGACGTTCCTGGCCGGAATCCCTCGTTACAATCACGACTCGCGATTAAACGCTTGTTAGAGGATTAACGCGTGTCCAGCTCGATCCCTTTTTCACGGCGACTAGATTGATCTTAATTGATTTTCCCTGTTCCCCCCTATAAATCCTATTTTCCGACGAGGGAAAAATTCTGCGACTCTACATATATACGTATTGCATACGTATATATACTCGCGGAAAGATTTCGTCCAATTTCGCGAAATTGGAATATAGGAAAATGAAGAAAATCGAACTATCGTCAATTTATTGAATATAATTGAATCATGGATGTGATATAACGAGTAAGCGCGTGATATTTCTTTTTTTTTTTTTCGTGAATTTCGAAAAAAAATTTGCACCAATTTTTCCCATGAATTTTGGGGAAGGCAAGTTTGTTGCAAAACAAGTGAACGAAGTTTGAAAGAAATAAAAAGTGTGTTTCCAAGTGTTCCAGGTAATAATAATAAATAATGGGCCCTCTCGCGTTAAACTTACCCTTCTTTAAGACGTAGATGCAAGGGTGGTCGAAGAGGAAGTTCTGGAAACTGTTACAATCCGGGTCTACATGCGGTTCCCTGCAGAGGCACGTTGGGCGGAAGAAAGGGAAAGCTTGGAGAGTGTGCAGGGCCGCTTGACACTTTGTCACTGTCACCGTCGAACAAGCCACTGTAACAGTTAAATTATTATTAAGCGGGTGCGCTCATTGCCGATGACAAATACGCCACCTTAACGAGCCTCGAGCATGAATATATTTCACGAATCTCTCTCTCTCTCTCTCTCTCTCACAATCAAATGCTTCCTCGTAAACACGTGATGTTCCGTTCCAAGAAAATGAAACGCGTGCAATTCGAATATGTAAATGACGTCGTTGAAATTCAACCCCTCCCTCTCCCCCCCACCAGTCCCATCCTGATTAAACGAAAACAAAAGAAATTCGAACCGATAAATTTACGCGCGTGTAATAACGTATCGAAAGGACGTTACGTTTTCCGCGAGTGCGGAATAATTGGATGGAAGCCTCTCAAGTCCAAGATCGATTTTTATATCTATCCTATATGTACCCTATTCTGTGAAAAGATTATAAAAATCCCATGGAAAAATTCGAAAGAGTCTCGGCACAGATATTATCTGAAGAGAATCGCAAGAATGAAACTGTCTCGCGCGTTACACCGTAGGGAATGCGATGGGATGTGGTACAAACACTCGAGGATAACACTCGAGCCTCGATCGTCTTGCTAACAACAAAGTTCACCTTTGTGTAAGCGTATTCCTCGTCGTCGCGACCGTGACATTATTCGTCTGCTGTAATCGCAATGTTTTGGAAAAAAAATTGTACCCAAGAATGGAGCACAGTTACAGAACGAGGCGGTATTTCGTGGTATTTATTCCGTCCGCGACAGTGAAAAATCAATTAATTTCCCCGCCACTTCGTAAAAACTCGTTACTTAACCATGGATCCAATCGGTCTTAAAGAGGCCACTTTTTAAGGGAGTTACAACGAGTATAACTTGAAAAATAATGAAAAGATGGTGAACGAATTTTATCTCGAATTAATTCTTCGACCTTCCTCGCTTCCATTCCCATTTTATTTCTCCGCCTTATATTCACCACCTCTCTCTATTTCCTCAACGACCGAAACGTGTCGAAATTAGGTCGCGACCGATGGTTAAACGTCGGTTTCCGTCGGTTTGCGGGAACCTATCGGGGACCGGAAGTTCGAAAGATCGTCATCTAAAAAAGGAAAAGAAAGTTCACGTCGAAGCCTTGTCTCATCATCAACGTTCCTTCTAAAAGAGCAGCTCGGTCACGATAAAGAACAGGTCAGCTCGTATCCGGTTAACAACTCTCCTTTACTTCCGCTTCCTCCTCGTGTTACAGGCGCGATTTGTCATCGAAGCGAATCGAGATTATTGGATAGGAGGAAGATGAGGCGTTATTCCGATATTCCTGCGGCCGGAAGCGCAATTGAAACTTCCACTTTTGGTCATTATTTTTCGATCTGACGTCCGACGATGGCTACGACATCTGGATCCATTCATTACTTATACCTCGCCTCCGCGCTGCCTTACGCTCGCTTATTACGAAACTTACGACGGTATCTTGGAATAGTAATTAAGGCGCGCTCTCGTTCCTATTCTTTCCCTGAACGACGACGCTGTACTAATTAATCTGCGTACGGAGGGAATCTCGAGTGAAGGGGAGGGGAGAAGGAAAAAAGAGCAAGAAGAAAACTACAAGTTGAAACTGCTCTAACGAGGAAATATTTTAACCGTTGAAATCGTTCCCAGAGCACCACGACGGTACTTACGATGGCCAGACACAAGGGGTTATAGGTTAGCAATGGTCGGACAAATAGTATTGAGATAAAATAAATCCGTGGTTGGAGAAGAAGGAGGAAAGAGAAAGGTTAGCCAGTATTCAAATGAATACGAGATACAATAAGAGACTGGTCCGAGGAAAGTTAATAAGTTGGACGAAATTATTCGACCGATATTATTCTTTGATTTCTCGTAAAGAACATGAGATTTTCTTTTTTTTTTTTTATTCAAAGATTTAAGAAGACGCTACGAGATTCCGAAGAATATCGATTCCTAGGGGATACTTTTCTCTTTGATATTTAAATCGGGCAATTTAGAGAAGCATTTAAGAATAATTGTATCGACCGACCCCCTTGCTCCGCAATTCAATCGAAAGTTGAGCATCGTGACGAAACGAGACGAGGTAAAGGGTCAGGCCTCGAAATAGTTCCGACAAAAATAACACGGGGTGAGATATATCGGGGTGGACCACCGATTGAAACAAAATCAATACGATTCGAGAACTACGTTAACCAACCGTCGAAAAACAGACTTAATAAAATATAAAACGAATCAACGGTGGCGCGGAATAGAAAAAACAAAAACAAACAAACAAGAAAAAAAAAATACGCGCGCACATACGTGGAATCACCATTGACTGGAAACGACACACGTTTCAAAGATTGATCGGCCCCTCGAAACAAAAGGATGGGTTAATAAAAAAAAAAAAAAGAAAGAAAGAAAGAACGACAAATGCAACGTAGTAAAACTTGGCGACGTATTTATCCTATAGGGTTGGTTGAATCGATAGTCATCACGTGTAAAAGTCGCTCTCGAACCGTCACAATACACGATGTTGCACAAAACCTAGGATCTGGCAGCTACAGTTGCAGCTGCACCAACGCTGATACCGTCCAGTCTCTCCCTCTCCCCCGTTTAATGCTTCCATACCGCGCCTATGCGCCCATACCCTACGTGAACTTGCATGGTCACTGTTAGATAGCGGCTTTGGGGTGGCCGAGAGAGAACGTCAGATCATACCTACATACGTTCGTACAATTGTGCACCACCCATCTGCATTCTACGAGCTGGACCACCAACCACTATCCGAAACATGCTCCCTTGTCTCTTGTGGAAAGCATAGGTGATGCCAACCATCTCTATTCGAACCCCTGCACCCTCTACGCGCTCCATTTTAACGAATACCACCCAGTGTGGTGCATGATTGTTTCGCGCGATTTATTCGATCTAATCTATTTTCTTTCTTTTCTTTTTTTTTTTTTTTTTTTTTTTTTTGAGTGAAATATATAATCGATCGTAAAAATAATACGTGCGTGTGTAACACGTAACGATGAGAGAAATTCTATCCTTCTGGTTCTGGTTAATTGATCAAATCGATCGATGAATTGCGAAAGGAGAATTTTTTTTTTCTTTTTGCATTTCTTTAAATATAAATAGATAGAAGAGTTCTTATTCGGATAATAACGAAGCGGGGATCGCAGATTTGTTTGATCGTTAAAAGGAAAGGATTCGAAGAAATATTCGAGAACATTCGGAACGAAAATTAGATGAGATCTCGTTATTAAATTTTATATTATTTTTATAATAATCCATCGACACCGAGAAAGGGGAATCTACGATTTTTATAACCGTAATGAAAATCGTCAGTCGAAGAAAAAGGTATTCCTCGAGAGGGTTTTATTAAAACGGGCGGATTATTTCGTAAGTAAGTATCTTAATTCGGATAAAAATGGGTTGCTTTTTGCCGCAGATAATGACCCTATTATATCGAGATCCCGGTTACCAACTTTTTACCAGGACTTTCGTCTCTGTGTTACGGAATATTCCCCGCAATACACGCTCCCAGATTTGAGAGCGATAGTTCCGCTTTGTATTCAACCCCGAACCTTCATACTCGTTTCGTGCACCAAAAGAAGAATTACTGTTTTTATATCCCTCTCCCCCTCTATCTCCCTCCGTTTTCTTTTTTTTTTTTTTCTACGTTATATTCGCTCCTGGAACCGGACTATTAATATCTCATTATTCATTCATACGTCGTAAATATCACGAACTATTAGTCTCTCCCCTTTTTGATTATCGAACGTGATTCGTTGTTTTCTCGTTTTCGAAATTTCACTGGAAACTCGGTGGAAAAAGGAAAAAAAAAAAAAGAAAGAAAGAAACAGAGGATCGAAATTCAATTAAAGCAACGAACGATATTTTCACGGGATCGAAACGTAACGAATTAAAGTCAAGCCTCTGCTGCGGGCGAAACGTTTATGGAAAAAGAGAAGGGTAGGTAAGGATAGCGCGTGCGTACGAGCGAGTTTACAGAGATACTCGCACAATTACGTTCATGCAATTGTATCGTGTCCTGACACATCTCGATACACTATTAGCTAATTTGTCGTATACCTCGTCCAAGTGAAAACACAGCGCGGCACAAACGTTCCGCGGAGGAAACGTGGACCTCGCGTATCGCGATTGGGATTCAAAGCGGCCACCGGAATCGAATGGTTAAAGCGATGTAAAAATATGAAAACCGGGTTCAAAGGATTGGCGACCTCCACCGTTCGTTCGATACGTCGAGGATAGAAGAAAAGAAAAAAAGCAATGCGCAAATGTAATTGCAACGTTTATTAAATCTACCACGATCAAATGGCTACGTGATTTTCCAATTTTTATTAAACAACCCCCGAGGAAAAAAGGTTTCCCATTCACCGCGTTACAAAGCGTGCGCGACATCCCCCTTTGATTCCGCTCCTTTCGTTTCGATTCCCATCCTTTTCTCCATAATTATCATAAAAAGCCTCGTTTCACCCGAGTGTGTTTTTCAACAACGGTGAGTCCATCGAAAAGAGAGAGAGAGAGAAAAAAAGAAGAAGAAGAAATCAACAGAAAACAAGAGCGAAATCTACGTAAAATTAACGGAATAAATCCGTTAAATGTTCGTTACTTCTATATTCCTGTTCGTGTTATACGATCGTTTTTCATTCGACCGTTTATTATTCATTCATTTAACCTTCTCCTCCTCCTCCTCTTCTCGCTCATCTCGTTCGATTCGCCGCGCTTTAATTATCAGAATTTACGAGAATCACATCGCGAAGGGTGGTGATCGTGGCCGAAAGTTGAGCGCGAGTTTATGTAACATTCATCCGTTGGGGAAAAAAGGCGAGTGGAAAGAATGGAAAGGGAGAAAAATATGCGCGCGGCAAATATCTCGAACGAATCGCGCAACCCTTTTTCTTCCTCTCCGTTTCATCGCTCTCTCTCCCCTTCTTTTTCTCCGCCCGCTTTTCTCAGGCGCATGTTCGTCCGGGAACACTACGCAGCAGAAGCACGTGCGAAGAAGAGCACACGCGAAAAAGA